ATGAACTTCTTTAGTACAGAAGGCATCGTGGAAAAAGGCGCGCCCTCCTCCCCCTTCGAAACCGGGCATTGCGAGGTTCGTAGTTAAGGAGATGTAGCTTTGAGGGTTTAGCGGTTTGGCATCGTTCAGGCCTCAATTGAAGCGATTGAACCATGCGAAGACGGGTTAGGTTTGGAAAATGTCAGTTGAGGGTTCTTATTCTTGGAAGGCAAAAACGAAAAAAAAAAACACACCTCTCTGCAACATCGTGCGACCGAAAGAAAGCCACAAGACCCCTCGGCAGCGTCACACGTCCTACGGCGTTCCAAACATTCCGAAAAAACGCAGGCCGAAAAGCTGTGCCCTCGCTACCTTGGGAAGACCAGCGCATCCTTTGAGGCAAACACTCAGATTGCAGAACCCCTAAAGCTTTGAACGTCGCGAACAAGTATCCGGTAACGCAGGCTTGCGCATGCCTGATCGAGGCAGAACATGTTGACGCAGAAGACATCCTCGAACCACGGCGGTCGGGTTGGGTCTGGAGAGGCTTCGGACTAGAGATCCCAGACTGCTTGTTTTGCTGAACCAATCTCCGGAGGGTTCATGGCGGTTATCAGCAGGTCAAGTTGGCATTCGGATGCATTGACCCTACCAACCATGACAACCCTAGGGATTTCTGCCTTAACCACAAGGCCGGCTTCACTCTCATGGGAGACTGGTGGAAGACGGGGTGTGTAGGGCCACAGGGTACCCCAAAAAACTGTGCCCTGTGCCCAAAAGTGACCCTACTCTAGGTACTGTAGAGGCTCCTGCTACCACTTAAGACAGTAAAGGAGGCCTTCTCCAGACATAGTTTCTTGAAGAGATCAATGTGAAGCTTCTTGCTACTTTCTGGTGCTTCTTGACCAGTCAAAATAAAGCACTAAGCCAGCGACTCAGCCTGTTTGCGAAGTTCTTCTTCCATGTGCCATACATTTGGGTCGAAGAACACGTGGTGCTGCTTGCACGGGCCCCCAAATTATGGGCCCTCAATTTTGGGTCCCTGCTTACCTGTTGTATACTTTACCGAAACATCAAAACAGAGATGTGATTTCAATGCCTTGGAGGGCTCTTTCGACCCATATCAGGCACCCATCCTTTTAAGGCTGCAGCCAAATCTCTTACGGACATCCTCTTCCCGGGCTTAGGTTAGAGGGTTTAGGATGAAGAGACATCCCGTACCCGAAAGCCCTAAGCCCTAAGCCCTAAGCCCTAAAGCCTAAACCCTAAGCCCTAAACCCTAAACCCCAAACCCCAAACCCCAAACCCCAAACCCCAAACCCTAAACCCTAAACCCTAAACCCTAAACCCTGAACCCTAAACCCTGAACCCTAACGGCTCCTTGGTGTGTTGCGGCATGTTGGACAGCCAGGAGGGCGAGTTCGGATGGTTCACAAAGAGTCCCTCTTCCGACTGGAGTATCTGCGAAGAAGAGGCGTAACAGAGACGAAGGGAAGGGTTTGGGATCTAGGCATTAAAGGCGAGACTGCCTGACCACCCCTTAGTCTGAGGCTGTAGGTTTCAGATCGCTTTGTGTACAATCTTGCACTACATGACTGCTTCAGGGCTTCCGACCTGCTGGCTGAACTGTAAACCCTCAATCCTCCACCCTGTTGGGCGCATACTCCCTTTCACCTTGAGCACCACCGCTTCGAACCCAAAGGCTTCTCTTCAATTCCTTGCGTCTGCAGGGCATCCTTTGTGGCAGCTACCAGGACCAGGTAGGAAGCCCTGAGCCCTGCATCCCCAGACACAGAAGAACCCTCGAAGTGGACTCTGAAACCCTCCCTTGAAATGGCGATCCGCAAGATTCAGAGACGACGCAGCTGACACCCGAGGGCTGTTGGGGTTTCAGAATCACCGAAGCCGAAGCAGCCAGAAACCCTCGTGAAATCCCCGAATCCCACACCCCCCGATATACCCGCGAAGACGGTCCCCCGCATGCCCCTGGCCTTCTCCAGCGCCTCCTGAAGAAGGATGTCAGGATGGCGAGATTCGCCCTACTAGACCGGGACCTCTCAAACATCCCAATATACTTCTTAGGCAACACGGGATTTCAACCTCCAAAACAAAAGCTGGGCCAAGCAAGGCTCGGATCCCCCAGGTCCGGTCCCTCCTAAAAAAACACGCGAACCTTGAGGGGTTTCAGGATTTCGTGCTTGTTTTGTGTTTGGGGTTCAGGGTTCGGGGTTTGGCATCTGGTGATTAAGATAAAGTCTGGCAAAACCCTGGGCCTGGAACCCATCGTCAGGAACCACCGCCAGGGGGCTGCTGAGGTCAACATCGGCCCACCTAAAAAAGAAGGAAATCAGGGTCTACTCCGGTTCCTAGGGAGCTTGTGGAGTGGATCCTTCTCCAGCCACCCTACATTTGCCCCCCCTACGGTTACCAGGTGGGTTGGCTTTTGGCCTTGAAGTGGGTAATTCTACGATTGTTTGAGGGCCCAGAAAGGCTTGCTTTGGGCTGATGGGCCGTGGCTTCTGCACCTGGGTGGTTCTACTTCTGGCCATCACACACACACACACAAACCACTGAGTAACTCCGCTTGCGCCGAGAAAGCTCGATACCCCTGGTCTGGTCTTAACGCTAAAGTCACGTAGACTTGAAGTAGGAACCACTCACTATAAGAGCTTCCGGGAAGCCTACAAATTCACCCAAAGCCCTGGAACTCTGCTGCCCGCCAGTGGAGGATAACGATCAACTTCGAGAGGAACTCCTCCAGCTTTGCGGGTGCTGAGGGTTTAGCTTTGAGGGCTAAGGCTTCAAACAGTTGGGGGTCGCGTGAGGGCTTGCAGAATTAGGGCAATGGGGTTTCGGGGCTTGTGAGGCTACAGTTCAAGTTCGGGGTTTGGATTGTGTGGCTTAGTAGGGTTTGTGATATTTGCACGCAGTGCGACTTCTCCATTGTCAAAATCCGGGCCTACGCGAGGCCCTCTGCATAACTATCGAGCCAGCACGGGAAGGTACGAAAAATCCGTGGTCCTAGAGAAAGGTAAATGCCAGACTTGCGGTTCGGGTGCGACGTTGGGGGGCGGGGGGAGGGCCTGGATCTTCAAAAGCCCAAACGTGCGTCAGGTATCATTGAACGATTTGCAAGTACAACCCGCAAGTTGTATATCTCTATATATATATATCTCTCTCTCTCTTCTAGAATATGATACAGGATATAACACCCCCCCCCCCCCCCCCCCCCCCCCCAAACAAAAGACTAAACAACAACAATAAAATAACAATCAAAACAAGAATCGAAGACAGACCGACAACCAAAGAGGATTCCTAAGCCTTCAGCTTCAGTTCATGGGCCGCAAACCTTTCCGTTGCCTAGAGCAACCCTGTACATTGCAAGAATGTAACAAGGTACAGAAACACCAAACCTAATCTAAGGAAGCCTTAACTTGATATCTCGTCCTCGTTGGGGTCTGAACTCCAGCTCGGAGGGACGGGGCTGAAGCCCTGGAAACCACACTGGATACCTTGATTTGCCCTCCTCCCCTGCCCGATAAACTAGCATTGGTCCTGAATTTAAGGTTTAGGGTAAGCACGAGAAGCCTCAAAGCCCTTAATGCTCCTGCGAGAAGGGGCCCTGTTCCTCCTGCGAGAGCGCCTTCAGAAAGACCTGCTTCACAAAGGCAACCCTTGGGAGGGAACGTTGCGTTCCAAGCCCCCAAGTCTTGGAAGGCCTAGAGTGCAGGGTGTTAGGGCCACCTCAAAGGGCTTAAGGGTGTATGATTGAGAGCTTATAAGGTCATATCGATCAACATCCTTCTTGAGGTTCAGGGTTCCACCACTCATGACGCATTCTTCGGCTCACATTCTACACAGACTCCGGCTTGAACACAACAGCGCCACCTTGCGGCGTCTTTTCAAAGGCCCTTTCTGCACACTCGAAGGCCCCGCAGCCTGAGACATACCCCCGCCCCCTCAAGCCTTCAAAACCTGCCACGCAAGTTTGAAGGCGTGGCAGCCTGCAAGGCCTTGAGCCCTAAACTGTAGGCCTTCAGCCATTCCAGAGTCTAAACCCTACACCCAACGCGAGAACAGCCAAAAGCAGCCTCCAAAAGCCTCTTCCAGGCCTTGACAGCCAAACAACCCGACTCCCCGCAAGCAGCCCCTAAGCATCCGGGGGCCCAGGCCACGGCGTCCACCTGAACGGGCTCAGCGCCAAGGGCACCTTCCAGCCTCGGGGGCGGGAGCGTTTTTGGAGAATCATAGGGTTTAGGGTTTAGAGTTTAGGGTTTAGGGCTTAGGGTTTAGGGTTGGGGGAGGGGGTGCTAGGGTGCTGAGAAAGGAGGTGGGGAGCGCGGGGTGGCAACTCATTCAGGGGTTCAGGGGTTCAAGGGGTTGTCTCCCTATTCCGTCGGCATGACTCTCTCAAGGCACTCCACCAAGCCTGTGCAGCTAAGCTGGGGGCATCAAGGGAGGCTCCTCGTCGTCTTTAAGTTCGGCTCTTTGGTCCTTCGGCTCTGGGGGTCGAGAATGTCTGGAGGCAGTTCAAGGGCCACACAGCTTCTGCACTCCAACCACAAGCACCAGCAAAAATCTGAACCGAAACCCTGCACTCGGCATTCGGATAGCAGATCTTGCACCCCATCTTTGTTGAGCTCGCGAACGCGAGAGCGCGAGCGCGCGGGCGGCGCGCGCAGCGCCGAGCTGCGGACACCTGCTGGGAGGCTAAGCAGAGCTTCGGGCTTCCAACCACTATAGGGCCTGCTTGGCCGCGCGAAACGTGACTGACCCTGTGTGGGAACGCACCAGGAGCCAGGACGGACTGCAAGAAAAGGCTGGAATGGCGCCCTTTGTGCCAGCTTTCATGGCCATTGAGGTGGATGCAGAAAGAAATGCGGTTGAAGCTGAAAACGGAGTAGCTCATGCTATGCTAGAAGTATCGTTCTAGTCCGACCTTCAAGCTAAGCCTTATTCATCTTCACCTCGAAGGGTTTAGGGCCCATGGTAAGTAGTTTCACCATTGCCTGATGGAAGCCTCAGCCATAGACTGCTTCGTGGATGTCGGCCTCGGTCGCTTCAGGGGTTGACTTCTGCAAGGGTTTAGGGTTTAGGGTCCTAGCATCCCGACTGCATAAAATCGAAGTAAAACCTCTGAACCAAGCAGCAGCCGCCAGGACCCGCCACGAGAAGGATTTAAATTCGAATTTATGCCCTTTTCTGGATCATGGCTTAAATTTGGATTTTTACCGTCTGTGGCTGAAGGGTCTGCGGTGTGCCGTCTGGGGGTCTGCGGGTCTAGAGAGCCTGAGGCTGGAGTTCGGGGGGTCTCGGGTCTCAAGCGTCCAAGGGTTTGCAGTCTCCGGGTTAAGGGGTCTACGGGTCTACGGGTCTGGGAGTATGGGTCATTTCAGGGTCTGACGGTCTGAAGGTTTAATGGTCTGCTGGGCCTTCGGCTTTAGGGTTCAGGTTGAAGATGCAGGGCTACGGGCCCTACTGGGCTTTCGACTGTGGGTCCTCCGCACCCCTTTAGCCTTGAAGGTTCGGGCCTGTGCCGGGTGAGTGGGCCTTGAGATTTAGGTTCAGGGCCTATTGAGATGCTGTATCCTCACCCAAACACCCCAAATCCCCCCAACCCTAAACCTGTAACCGAAACCCGAAATCCAAAAACACACCCACAGAGGCCTTTAGGGGGTGTGAGGGTGGAGGTCGAGGGTCCAAGGTTTTGCAGTCTACGGGTTAAGGGGTCTACGGGTCTACGGGTCTGCGGGTACGGGTCATCTAAGGGTCTGACGGTCTGATCATGAAGGTTTAATGGTCGGCATCCCAAAACTCCCAAACCTAAGGTCTTAGCTTCAGGGCTTGTCGGTGTCAAGGATGAGGATTTCAATTCACAACCGCCCACAACCCAAACCCCCAAAGCTCTGAGCAGTAAACCTCAATTGCATCCCGAACTTGGATATGACGAAACCGTAGACGTTTTGAATGCGAATGTAAATCTGGAGAAGATGAAACTGTGCAAGGTTTTAAATTCGAATCTAAACCCGGACAAGAGGAGACTGTAGAGCTGTTAAATACATATTCAAACCTAGAGAGCGGCAATCTCAGCTTAAATTCGAATTTAAGACCTTGCACTGGTAATAGGCTTTAAATTTGAAATCAAGTCCCTTAAGCAAAACCCAGGAAGGATTCAATTCGAATTTAATTCTGCAGTAGGGTGGGGGAGCAAGAACATGGAGCTAAATTCGAATTAAAACCTCTACAGCCGAAAAGGGCTAAATTCAAATCTAGGCTCTCCAGAGGAGACCCTGAACCCTACAAGCAGAAGGCCTAAACTCGAATTTTTAAATCCTAGTTGAACTTGAAATCCGTCCATATTCCCCTGCACCCCAGGGCCCAAGCCATCCAGCTGGGCTCCGGTACCATGTAAGCCATCCTCGGCGGTGGCGCAATGTGAGACTTCAAGAGTCGAGAAACCCGAACCCCTAACCCCTAAGCCTGAAACCCTGAAACCCTGAAACCCTGAACCCTGAACCCTAAACCCTGAACCCTGAGTCCTAAACCCTGAACCCTGAACCCTGAACCCTGAACCCTAAACCCTAAACCCTAAACCCTAAACCCTAAACCCTAAACCCTAAACCCTAAACCCCAGGATGTTGCAGTCTCGGGGTCCACCTGGACCAGCAGGTGCTTCAGGCTTTGGGGAGAAGGGAACGAGAAAGGGGTCCACGTGGGTGTGAAGCTGTCGAGGCTTGCGGTTGGTTGGGCCTCGTGGTGCCTGCAAGGAGTGCAAGCCGCCCGGAAAGATCTAGGGTGCCCGCTGTTCGGCGTGTGAGAAGGTTGAGGGCTCGGGGCCGGTTTCATTGAGGTTTTGAAGCTTGCTTGAAACCAGAACCAGACTCAGCATACCCCATCATCTGTCTAGGCCTCTTATCAAATCAGCCCATAAAGAGCTCTGAAGTCAACCTCCGCAATCCCCTACCCAAGACTAAACCCCTAATACTGGATAGGGCCTATTGACCTTAGAAAACGTATTTGGGGTAGTTTTACATATGGAAAGTACAGATTACCCTAAACCCTACACCCTAAACCCTAAACCCATTAAGCCTTGGCAGAGTGCGGGGGCTTGGGCACAGGGGGCCCCACTGAAGTCGAAACATCCAAGCGTCAGCGCGTGGCGGCAGACCCCCCCTGCAGGGCGCACCTCCCAAGTGCAGTGCTGTTCATTAGGGTTTGGGGTTTTAGGGTTTAGGGTTTGGGGTTTAGGGCAAACCAGGAGCGCTGTTGAATGTGGCAGCGCCGAGAGCTGTACAGGCTGTACAGGTGTCCGTTCTGGAGAGCTACCTGCTGGCGCAACTTGCTGCGGCCGTGAACAGTACAATAGCAGCTGCAAGCCCTGCAATCCCCCCAAACCCCCTGAAGGTGTTTGAACTCAAGCAACGTCTCAGCCAATCTATAATAGGGTCTCTCTATTGGGGATTACGAGGTTGCAGGTGCAGATTCCAAGGTGTCGCCCCATGTCACAACGGAGCCATCCGCGCAAAGCGCGGCAAAGCCACCGCGCGAGGCGGCCAGCTTCCTTCTGGAGCTTGGCTCGGAGGGGTCCAAAACCTCTTCACCGAGGAGCATACCTCTAATGCTCTATAACTCTATACCCTAAACCCTAAACCTTTTCCACCTGTAGCTAAACTTTGGATCCACTGTTCTGACCTGCGAAACTATTGCCCGAGGCCGCACTTGGGAGACCAGGCCACGCTACATTCCTCGGCCCAGGGATTCTCAGGGTTTCGAGGGATTCGAAAGGCCGCACCACCGGAGACCCCAACACACCCAGAACAAGTGACCCAGCCCCAACAAATGACCCCAAAAAGGCCCTTTAACCTCTTCGGCTGCCCTCCCCCCCACCCCGACACACGGGTCCGGACGTCGCGCAAGAGGTGTCTGACCGCTCCACTGGCCTCCGTCTCTGCCGTTGCCCTACAAAGCCATCCGGCCTACAGCCCCTCAACCTCTTGGCTGCCAAGTCTGAATCCTCAGGTTCTTGGAGAGAATGGCCTGCGTTTGGGCTTGAGGGGAGCCGCCAGATTGTGGCTTGTACAGAGAACCCAGAGGATGCTCCAGGGTCCTATCAGGTCCAAATCGGAACAGTTCAGCCGCGCGTCTCCGCCGGAAACATCATCGCCCCATGTGATGACACTGCCGTCGCCTTAGGTTCACATGACAGGACCCAACTTCGGCCCCAGAACCATGGAAGTTCCGCGACCTGCTTCGGAGGTGTGGGCTGCGTGCTTGCGTGGCTTCCGAGGGCATGTCATCTCTCTAACGCTGCTCCAGCAGGAATGGGCAAGTGCCAGCCGTGTTGCGGCGAAGGGCTGCGAAGGCCGCGCCAGAGCCAGCCACGGACACGACGTCCACAAGCTCCGCCTGGGAGTTTAGAGAGAGGCGTGGGCAGCCATGGACCAACCTCAGCCTACTGCAAGTACTTCTTAGCTATATCTCCTCAAGGAGGGAATCCCATATGAACAGCTCTTGTCAAAAATCATGCGACGCCTGCAATCACCACTGCGTGCGGGGAGTCTCGGGCGCCTCCACCGAGGAGGCATCGCCCCCGAAGGGGGCCTCACCCCAGCAGATGACGCGGCCGTCGGAGCCTCGGAGTGGGCGCTTTAAAATACTTTAAAACGCCGCGGAGAGTTGAGCCCTCCCGGCCGAAGGCTTCTCCTTTTGTGGGACCCCTTCTACGGCGAATATGTGTGAACTCCCAGACCTTGACTTCGATCATCTACGCCCAGTGTCTGTGCGGGTCTAAAGGTCCCTGAAATCCCTGACCGGCAAAGCCCCTTGTAAGCCCCCCGTCAGCCACGAATCACTAAACCGCCAAGCCCTACATCCCTGACCCGCCCCAAACCCTCAACTCGAAAGACACCCCTTCCCCCCAAACCCCCCCCCTAAACCCTAAACCCTAAACCCTCAACCCTAATCCCCAAAAACCTGTAAACCCTGTAAACCCTGTAAACCCTGTAAACCCTGTAAAGCCTGTAAACCCTGTAAACCCTGTAAACCCTGTAAACCCTGTAAACCCTGTAAACCCTGTAAACCCTGTAACCCCTGTAAACCCTGTAAACCCTGTAAACCCTGTAAACCCTGTAAACCCTACAAACCCTACAAACCCTACAAACCCTACAAACCCTACAAACCCTACAAACCCTACAAACCCTCCAAACCCTACAAACCCTAAACCCCGAATCCACCCCAAAAACCGCCAGGTCGCGGAGAGCAGCAAAAGCTCGGCTCGTGGCAAAGAGCTGCTGGATCCCCCTGGGCTCCCAAGACCCGAGGCCGCCCCCCCCCCCCCCCCTCTTCAGGGCGTGGGTTAAGGTGTTTGTCTTTTTTTTTGGGGGGGGGGGGGGGGGGGACCATTCGGGACACACCTCCGCAATCCGAGGCTCCATAGCTGATCCTGCACGCCGTCGCTGACAGCACCAAAGCCCGGGTCACCCCAGGAAACCACCTCACACACAAAGGTCTCTCCTTATTTACTCTGCAGGGCTCTCAGCCCTAAGCCCCAAAGGGCTGCGATCCTCGCCTCTGCTTGCTTTTAATCGTTTTGGCCCTTAGGGGTGGGTTCTAGAGTTCAGCATGCCGTGTTGATGTCCTCCTGCGCACCGCACACTTCCACTTTGTCCAACAACCCTTCACAGAGTTGGAGGTCTTGCAACCTAGGCACACTGCCGTCCCCACGAAGGGCCGCAAAGGCTTCCGTCGTACCGCACAGTCTCGGTGTGATGTGCAACATGGTCTATGTCTACGCCCGACCTAACACCCAATGCCTGGTTTTCTACACAATGCTGTTGTTCACTAGCGAGCCAAAGGACAAGAATGGCAATCATAATGGCTCGCGCTAACAGAGGTAAAAGACAAGGACAAGTGCACCCTCGAAACCAATGCACCAATGAACGCAACATTGAGGCCCAGACAGGTGCTACAGGATTATAACTGTGAACAAGACCCAAGAATCCAATATGAAAAGCGGTCAGTCATTCCACCTTCAAAAACCGTCTATCATTCGTTCCTAATTTTCCCAAGCTTTTACTCTTAGATTTCGAGCGACCATTCATTCACCCGGGATAACCGCTAGAATAATATCCAAAGTTGTGTCCACGTGTCACGCTCTATTTCGTCCAGGTGTTACGGTAATATGACTACGAGTGAGGACACCCTATCACGGCAGTGCTCATAACAATAATAAAGAAGAAGACAGAGTGAATGCATTGAAACCCCCGAAACTGGTTCATAGTTGGGATAGTAATAAAATTTTAAAATTTTATTCCTTATTGAGTTTAAGTACCCTTAAAAATGTAAAATGTTACCCCACTATGACAAAGGAAATCTATTATTAATGGGAGAACGCATTTAAAATCGCATGCGTTTGCAAGATTCGTGTATGCATTCTCTGAGTCATCCATGAGCTCCTTTTATAGTACTACAAGCGAAGTAGGCCTCCAAACCAGCCGCAATCTGCAAGGCTTGATCGAATTGACAGTCCCTCTTTGGGTACTCTAAAAATTAATGTCCGCGTTGATAAGAGTTGCCAACGGAAGGACACAATCTAAATCATCCCTTAATGCCCTATAGTATAACCCTAAACCCTAAACCCTAAATCCTAAGCCCTCAACGAATACCAAGCTCCACTATAACTTTTTTCGCCCCAAGCCCTAAACGCAAAAGAACTTTATGGCTGGAGTGTTCTCTTGGAGAGTGACGAGAGGCCCTTTCACATCCTGCAGCGGCTCTTGTACGGCTTTGCCTTGAAGGAGGGCTGGGATTGGGGCGCTTGGGACGTTTAGAACGGCGGCGGGGAGGGAGGGAGGGAGGGAGGGAGGGAGGGAGGGCGTTTGGGAAAGTTGGGTCTGGGGTTTCGGGGTTAAGCCGCTTTGTTCGTGAACTGGGGGTGTCTCGGGATTGCTGGGTGCAACTAAGCCACGTCGGGCTGTCGAACTTTGTGCTGACAAGCCCTCCAAAATGACACTCTCCCCTCTGTCGGTGGTTCTTGGCCACCTCCTTAACAATCATCTTTAAGTCTTGGTTGAGCCGCAACTGATATCCAGTCCTGCCACCGAGCTTCTGTCGCAACAGCTGTGGCCCCATGTGGCCACAGTACCTCTCAAATTGGTCCCCGATGGTGCGAGAAAGTTTAGGGATCAGGTGGACAAGCCGCTTGTCGCCCACCACTGAGGACTTCATGTACAAGCCCTGCGTGCTGTTCATAGGCAAATGCGTGTCTGAAAACATATGTATATATACACACATATATATATATATGTATATATATGCATTTCACTTAAACCTTACTGCATTCTGATCACTGGTAGCAGTATGTGGCATCGGAAAGGTTCCTCAAAAAGCCTCAAAAGATGTGCGTTTATGCAAGGGAATGACACTAACCGGCCGTGCGCCCTAGCCGGTAGATGCATTGCATGATTAAGTCAAGTGACTTGAATGAGCAAGTGCGAAGAAAAGTTGTTGAATGCATTCATTGGGGCAGGTGCGTGAATGAGCTGAATGACCCCCCAAAATAAGCACCTTCAAAAGCGATATAGTCCTGCAGCCTCCAAGGCCCCTCCAAGTCCTTGAGAATCTTGCTGAGAGTCAACTGCAAGTACAAGTCCTGGCAGACCCAATGCCACAACCCTGGGTACCGTCGGCCCGACGCGCTGCGAAGGAACACGCCGAGGCGCAAAGCTCCTGATAAGCAGCGCAAGATTGGGTATTTGGGTATGCCTCGAAAACTACAAGGGATACTATTTTGGTTGGCACAAAGTTTCACGTTTCTTTTCCTTCTGGATCAAGAATCAAAATGTCAACCGGGTGGCTTCGGTTGAATTCTGAGGGCACAGCCTAAAGCCCGAGTGGCCGAAAAAAATTGGATCGACCCCACCCTGAAACCAAACAATGTGTGGGCCGTCCGGCCCCCCTTCGAACAATAGGCAGCTGCATCAGCAACAGAACAAAGCGAGAGCTGCTTTCAAAGTGCGTTGCCAGCATATGGCCACAGAGGGTCGAGTTGAACAGTGCCGAAACCGGACGATCGGAGCCCTTCCACACTGAAACGGCGGTAGATGGTTGGATGGTGGGGGGGGTCTCAGTGCTTTGAAACGACCACTAGAGCCAGCGCCGAGCAAGGCTTGGTGCCGAACTCGGTGC